AGGCTATGTCCCAGGACTGGGTCCTATCCATGGCCAATATCAGCGAGATGCTCAGGGCGAGCGAAAATTCAACGTTCAGATTTGATGCTACCAAGATCTCTCTAAATTAGGTGATTTAATTAGTGGAAAATGAAAATAAAAAACCACTATTTCAATACTTCCAAGTGCAACTGCCATGGGGTGGTGTGGGTAAGGGTTGGGGATGGGTTTGATAGGAAGGTATAGGACTAACAGACTGAATTTAAGCGAATATCAGTTAGTCGGATGTGGTCCGAGTGAATATTCACTGGCTCGGCTAGTGGTTGTGCCAAATTACTAACTTCGCCCACTTTGGGCTGGATGTGATCAGTCGTTCGGTCGGAACCAGAGCATTTGATCTTCGGGTCGACCGAACCACCTTATAAACCTCGAATAATTCCCGTTTTAGGGAGTTTGAGAGCGCGTTCAGTCTATTGGGAAAAAATGGGAGGGTGGGATTTTATTCCAGGGGTTCCCTGAAAATACCGCACGCTTCGTAGATAAGCCCGTGTTTTCTACGTTGGACATGATCTGCCCTGATTGAGGTGATATCGTTGGTTAATTCGCTATTGCGAATGTGATACCTATAAAATTTATCTGATAGTTTCAGAATGTAATCTCTTATGAGAGGCAGATCATGGCACTGTGAATGCAAGTCTACCACTCGAGTGTATCTGTTACCGTTGGTAATAATACGGAGTACCTTATTCTGTAGTATTTGTAATCTACTCATATGAGTAGACGAAATACTACAGAATACTGGGCAGGCGTATGTTAATGTTGGCCGGATTATTTGTTTGTAAATCAGGAGTTTGTTGTCCAGTGATAGCGAGGAATTCCTTGCCAACAAAGGATACAAGCTCCTGATTGTCGCGTTGGTTTTTGCTAAAAGATATCCAGTATTAGCGAAGAAGTTCATACGTCTGTCCAGTTTGACTCCCAGGTATTTCACGGAGGCCTTGACCTCCACCTCAGTGTCCTTGACACGCAAAGGTTGGAATAAAGTGTTGTTTGTGAATTTTCTAGAGAAGTTTATGATTTCTGTTTTGGCATGATTTATTCCAATCTTCGCGTTGTCAAGATACGGAATGACCCTCCTGTCCAGGTGTTCCTGGATCTGAGCCCTGGCGACATCCGAGAAGTACGAGTGTGCATATATTGCAGTATCATCCGCATATAATGCAGTACTCGCATTATCGCACACAGGAAGGTCATAAGTATATAAAGAGTACAGCAGAGGTGAAATGCACGACCCCTGTGGAACACCTGCCTCGAGTGGAAATTGTCTGGAAATAGTGTTGTTAATTTTGACTTTGATGTTGCGACGGGCTAAATACGAGTCGATCAACTTAACAATGAACATGGGCATCCCTGCAGATGCCAACTTATACATCAACCCCTCGTGCCAAACGGTGTCGAATGCTTTTTCAATATCCATCAGGACCATAACTTAACCGTCTCCTCTTACCGTTTCCGAATTTCACTCACCCGGTATATTTTTTCTTGAACAGAAGAAATAGATCTTTCACTAATGTTGAAATTGAATAGGGTGTTCTAGTTGAAAAAACTGATCTGGACTCTTCTTCATCATTTTGCGATTGGCCCCTGTTCATTTAAGCAGGAGTGCCAAAATATAATAAAAATGAAATCCTATAGGTATCTCAAAATGGTCCAGTATTTTTTAACAGGAGAGAAAAACGAACTCAAAGGCGGTCGACCACGATATTTAATTATAAGTAGTATAGATTCTTCTTATAACCGTTTCGCGTGTATCTCTGTCAACAACCAAATGTTTTTGCATTGTTATTTGAAGTTATATAATATCTGATTTCTCATTATTAGATCTTTCTTGGGTGTCGAGTCCCATTTTTCATATGATTGATTGTCATTCAAAAATGTTTTCATTCTTTTATAACACTTTAAATTTTTACATTTCTGCGTCTTTTCTTTCATGATATTGCAGTTAGATGAAACTCAATTGCGAGTAGATTTCCAAAAAACTATTTTTTCCATTTTTTCCCGATGCTGAACTTACTTATAGTCAAGTTCTTTCGGCTTTTCAGCCGTTACAAATTTTGTTGAGTGCGAGGCTGGATTGATCCTTAGTTGTAACGACCGGATAATTGATTTATTTTTTATATTGTTGATATGTTTTATACATAAGAGTTATATCAACTCTCAGCTACCATTTTGTTTTATATCTATACAACTTGTAATGTTCTAGGTACTTTTTTTGTTGTGTCTGAAGATGGCCGTAAAGCCGAAACTATAGTCACACGCTGATTATTTTTATATTATATATTGTGGTCGACCGACTTTGAGATCGTTTTTTTCTCCTGGTCCTACAAAATTCATAGAGACACCCTGTAGATCCAATATTCGAATAGATCAGATAGGCACAAAGACTGGAAGTTGCAAATTCTGCCGGCCAACCCCATATCAATCCTCCCACCCCTTTACAGAGAAATTTGCTCTGAATAATACACGGTAGGACCGTTCGCCGTTTCAGGTCACGTTTTACCACCTAAAGGGATGGTAGTAAAATCGATCGGAAGAAGAAATAAAACCAGCAAATGTTCTCTGCTTATCCAATGTCCGTATGCAGTTCATATTATGAACTTCCGGTTCAGACCATCCTGCATTTAGAATTATAATGGGGAAGTTGCCTATATATTGAGGCTTTTATCTCACCGTGAGGTTTGTGAAAAATCAATATATGTATACGTATTTTATTTTCGTAAGATCAAATTTCACTTCAGGAAAAAATAAATAAAAGGGGAACTTGCCTCCTCCACCATTCCTATGACTTACTGCCAGTACCTACGACGTTGCCGACATCCTCAATATGTTTAGATTTCCGGAAATTGTTCTTTGAATGCATAATAACTATATTGTAATTTGTTGATTCAATGATATTTCCGTTTAGAATCGACCTCTATTCGAGATATTTCAATACATAAATAACAAAACCATAACCCGTCAGAATGAAGCCATTCCTGCTCCGAGTACTTTTGTGGTTATGTATGTTTTTGTTTACCAGTTTTACTTCTTCAATTTTTTCAATTCGTTAGCTATTCCCTAGCTATTTTCTTCAACATCAGCTATTTTCAGACTAGATTCAGAATGTACATCACAGCTTATTGCCGCCCCGAAAATTAGAAATTGCTTTAATTTTGAAATTAAACCACTTGGACTTTCTTGGTCGCCATTCTGTACAGCGTGGACATAAAACTGGAGAGTTCCGAACTTATTTCATAAAAATTCATCTGAAGGCAACTTCCCCATTCACTGGATCATGCAGATGCGAGAGTGTAGTTTCAACAAACTACAAAGTAGACTCACATTTCTAAGATCATTTTTTCATACTCGAACTTAGTTCCTATATTATTAAGCGACAACTCTGACAACCTATAATATACTTTCATAACCATCATCATATTTCAAGAAATTCATTGTATATTGATCCATCGTTACTATTTGGAACAGTATATAGGTAGTTCATTCAGATCATTAACTTGATAGTCTTGTTATCGATACTCGATAATATACAATTTTGTACAGGTGATGAAAATAGCTTTCACATTATGCTTTGTATGATATATTTTCTCCTATTATAGATATGATGAGAGTCAGAATTTGGTCAAGAAACTCACTGCTTATCAGGGCGAAGTTCATATTATGAGCTTTAGTTGAGTGCACCCATAGTGCACCCTACTATTGATGCTAAACCAGTCTAAATCTCCTGAAACTGTTTCAATCAAGTGACACTCTGTGAATTTCCCATAAACATTCACAGCTAGAAAGGATTGATCGATGGAAACTAGAAAAAATATGGTACAGATATGCTCAACTTTTCGATTCTTTTCATCGGTACCCAATATAGTACTTTGTACAAATAGTGGGGAAATATATTTTTTCATTATATGTGTCCTACACCTAAGTTTATTCCAATGATGATGGAAGTCAGAATTGTATATAAAAACGACTTTCATCTCCACATTCCAAAATATAAATTTGTTTTTTGAATTGACTCAGCCGTTACTTGATGGAAATCCATGGCAATTGTAAAAACTTCACAAACGATAAGATTTCCACAAATTTCTCAAACACACGAGATGTTTCGCAACTTTGTATGATCGCAGTTTTAAGAACCGTTTTTCATATTACAACATCAACCTAACCTTTCGAGTCCGGAGTCGAGTGTCATCCATAATAATTACAAGTTGACACTAGCGACTAGCGCCTTGAAACAGGACGCATCAAATATTGCGAGCAAGCTATGCGGAAGGAAGTATAAATAATATAGAAAATGTCCGACTTCTGACAAGACTCGTGGCAATATCTGGTGCATCCTCTCTCTAGTTGCTATCGATGTATCCTCGGATGTATCGTAATTACATAACAAACCGACTGCAAATGAAATTATGACATGAAATCATTGTTTTATTCATAAAATAATGAGTGAAATAATCTTAGCTAATATAACCCGTTTTATAGATGATTATCGAAAATCCTTCCTCTTTTTCGAAACCTAAAAGGAACATTAGGCAACCACGCTCGAACTATGCGCTCGTGTGGTTGTCGAAGGGATTTGTATTTCGACAATCATCAATACACTTTCTGTATCACTTAAGGTAATGACAATAGTTGCACGAATATAAATCTTTCAGAACCCGGTTCATATTTAGTATAACAGCATGTAAAATATCAAAAATCAGCAAGTAGGTCAGATGTACAATATTTTAGTCCGCAGATAAAATTCCATGAAGTCATCTTCAAAACATTGTCACGTGTCACACCCACTAAGCAAAGTTGAAAGCAATGTTGATGCAATGTTGAAGCATTTACAGAAATGTAAGTTCAGCAATATTGCAACGGTGAAGTTTGGTGATGTAGCGTTGCAGCAATTATCATGTTGCTGTGACATTGCTGGAACGTTCGATTTACACAATTCACATTTGCAATAATGCTGTAATGTTCCAGTAATTGCTACAACCTTGCATCAACATAGCTTCCAAATTTACTTAGTGGGAAAAATAACAAGCCATATCTCAGTAGTTTATACTGACCCAAGGGTACAACTGTCCCTTTCCCTTCAATTCTTATCAACTCGGCTACGTCACCTCTTCTCTTTTTAGCCCCCCTCAGAACCTCACTCGAGTCCATCTACAAGACTATCATCAGTTCATTTTATCACAGTTGAAACATTTTGGAATAACACTAACAAACGTACAACAAGCAGTCTTGTTCCAGAAGCGACACCGAAATGCACTTTAATATGTACACTACGTATATAGCAGTTCATTTTCATCACGGTATTTACACGACATCAAACTCTCACGTTATTAGATGTGCTGCCGACAATAGCAGAAGAAAGTAAACTCCGATAGGAAGATTGCTACTTGTTGAGCTCTTGACTGAAACAAACGCAATTACTAGAGAGAATGTAAACAACGCAAAACAAAGGGAACATGTCGTTACATCCACATCGCGTTGTTCAAACAGTTCGGTAGGCCCACATTTCGTTATGTCCACATTTCGATATACCCATAGTTTCCGAAAGATGCACTGTTGCCAAATACTATCGTATATGCCAGAATTCACTGTTTTGTGCCCACATTTGGTTACCCCCATTTCGTTACACCTAGGCCCACATTTGGTTATTCAGACCTAGTTACGTTAGATTGTTTTGAAGAAGTATAGTCTATTTTGCTCTCTCAAGTTTTTTCACCAAAAAATATATTTCATAGGAAGGAGGTTCATTTCTGCCGGGTTATAGGTCAATAGGCTCGCATTTCGTTAGCCACACATTTCTTCATTCACACAGTCTCCGAACATACCCTAATTGTGTATTGTTACCAAATGTAGGTGTAACAAATTGTGTCGTTAGGCCCACAAGCGTCTACTCTATGGCTCTCTGAATTCCAAATACGTGATGTAAAGAAGGAAAATATCCTTTCTGCATAAAAAAGAAGAATACTGAACAATCTAACCTAACTGGGCCTGAATGAACCTTCTTCCTAGGAAGAATATGTTTCTGAAAATTACTTGAGAGAGCGAAAGAGTCTATAGTATTTCGAAACAATCTAACCTGTCTCGTCCTAAATGAACCTTCCCAGAAACTTTATTTTTCGATGAATTACTTGAGCGGACAAGAGAAACTTCTTTTTTCAAATAATATATCCTAACCAAGCCCAAATACACCTTCTTTCTAAAATGTATGTATGTTCGGAACACACCCTTACGGAATCGGAGACTGTGAGAATATCGAAATATGTTGCTAACGAAATATGGGCCTATCGAAATGTATAAGTGCAACGCAATGTAGGCGTTACGAAATGTAGGCAGAAAGCAATGTGGGTGTAACGAAATGTAGGTGCAGCACAATGCGTCGATAGGCCCACAATGACTGTTTCAGTGAATTCTGGCATATAGGATAGTATTTGGCAACATTGCATCCTCCGGGTATGTTTGGAAACTGTGGGTATATATATATATATATATATTTTTGAAAACATTTATTTCTGACCTCTAATCAGATACATATACAATAAATCTGGCACCGAGGCATTAGCTTTCAATGTATAGTAACAGATTGAATAATAATGGAAAAAAGTTTCAATACCTACCTCCTGTCCCTATATCCTCCCTAGGAACGCACGATGTTCTTTGAACATTTTAGGGATTTCCTTTCGTGCGCTCCAAGCGATAAAAAAAATGATTTAGGTATTTACAGTACTGATCAATCAATAATTGGCTCTGTTGATTGCAAAATTTCTTGAGGTTATGGTACACAACTTTCTCACATCCTTCAAAGATAGTCTCTGGTATAAGAGAATCCTGTCCTCTTTTTGTCCTTGCAAAGTTATTTTCAAGTCTTTCTTTAGTTCGTAGGTTATGATTATAATAGTCTTCATTCTGATTCGGTTGCACATTTTTTCTTCATCAGATTATTCTGTATTTTATAAATAAGTTCAATTTGTTCAAAGTTTTTTAGTTTATCTATTTAGTTTGAGAAATGGGTATCATTTATATACAGTGTCACTTGATGTATTATGGTTTTCATTGTTTTATTTTGTAGTGTATTTAGTTTGAGAAATGGGTATCATTTATATACAGTGTCACTTGATGTATTATGGTTTTCATTGTTTTATTTTGTAGTGTCTGCAGTTTGTTCATCACTTCAACAATAGCGTTTCCATAGCATGGAATAAGATGCCTTGTGTGGGGTTCAATGAAACTATCATCTAAAAGATATCTAGAATTTTTGCTCAGCATATGGTTGCATCGTCGAATCGCACCCAACATTGGGGCTACTTTCTTCAGGAGACTGTCTATATGGACATTCCATGTTAAACTGTCAGTCACTATAAGGCCTAGGTATTTATATTGTTCAACTTTTTTCAGTACACAGTCATTTATTTTTATTTCAGGATTTATCTGTTTTTTTCCCACTCGATGTAGCACCATGTTAACAGTCTTTTCCACATTTATAGTTAATTTATTGTAGCATAGCCACTGATAGTACCTTTCAAGATCAATGTTTTGTTCAAGTTCGATTTCATTTACTCCTGAGAAAATGAGAACTGTATCATCGCAGTATTTGTATCGAAATGTGGGCATAACGAAATGTGAGCCTATCGAAATGTGGGAACAACCGTTATTGTATCGGTGGTAACAGAACAACGCGATGTGGTGCGGTAAAGAATTGTGGATGTAACGACATGATCCCATTAAGATCAGTAGTTCATCCGCGCAGTAGTTCATTTAACCAGTAGTTCAATCTTATAGTAGTTTATTCGTACTCACCGAGAAGTAGTGCTTCTCTGTGCGGTAACGTTTGCGTCTGAACTACGCTTTCTCTGTCGCTCTGGTAGAGCATCGGCATCATGGAGGCCCTGCATTTGACTTTCATGGAGCCGCCCCTGAAATGGTGGCTGCTGAGCCGAAACCGTAAGCCTAGCACAGAGGACACCAAGCCGTGTTGGTGGTTTTCCACTGGGTAGTGGACGAGGGCTCCGGCTTTTTGAATCTGCAAAAAAACGGAACATTTGAACTATGGTAATGATATTTCACTAAATGAGGCTTGAATATAATTTGAAGCAGTAGTTCAATATAATGGTGCAGAAAAGGGGCTTGAAGTGGAAAGTTCTGGTGTAATTATTTTAAGCGCTTTATAGTATGTATTTTGTGGTGCTCAACACGAATCTGAAGTTGCCCGAATAAAATTTTGTCAGCAAGCCGACTCGATTTTTGTTTGGCTAGGCTTCGCTGAGTCGGCGGTGTTAGGACTGCTGGCTGGGGACTATACTGCACTGATGAGAGTCAAAGAGCTTGAAACCTCTATAGGGTAAGTATTTGTTGAGGTGTTTGAATTCATAGATTATTTTTTGTTATTTTTGCACTGTATTGTGGTATTCCCATTTCAGATGTCTGTCAATGTATATACCTAAGTATTTAATTTCGTTCTCGGCTTGTATGTTGTAAGAAATCCCATTTATATCTAGATTTCTAGATTTCAATATAATGTAATATCTTCTCATGATTGATTCGTCATTTATGCTGTCACAGAAAGAAATTGTGTATTATTTACTGGAAAAATATAAAATTTCAGCTCACGGGTTTTTGTCTCCCTCCGTTACGCGTTGGGAGACAAGACAACCTCGATAGAAAGATAGATAGATAGATTTATTTCTCAATACAGTGAGTGCAAAAAAATAATTATTTTTTACATCAATGCGAGTTCCTAAGAACATTTGAGATAACGAGAGAGAAAAATAAATAATGTATACAAATCGGAGTTGATATTTGGCAATACTTTACAAATTTAGTGAAAGTATAATCTTTGACAGAAATTATCATTTATATATATATTTTTTTTTTATCGCTTGGAGCGCACGAAAGGGAATCCCTATAATGTTCAAAGAACATCGTGCGTTCCTAGGGAGGATAGGGACAGGAGGTAGGTATTGGATTTTTTTTTGAACTTTTGGAGATTATATGTTGTTGGGAATACTTCCACAGGCAATGAATTCCAGAGCCTAGCCGTTCTATGGATGAAGGAGTCTTGATAAAGTGCTGTTCGACATCTTTCGAGGTTGACAACGAAAGGATGTGCTGACTGGGCTTGTCTAGTTCGTCTGATTGGTATTGCTAGTGAAGGAATGATAGCAGAGATTTCCGAAGAACATTTCCCGTGGAAGTATCGATAGAAAAGTGAAAGGTCGCCGACCTTTCTACGGTGTTCCAATGATGTCAAAGAGTGAGTGAGTGTGGCGTCACCCACTAGGCGAATGGCTCTTCTCTGGATGGAATCTAAGAGCATCAGCGTATGTTTTGGTGCTGAACCCCATATGTACAATGAATAGATGTTTCTGTATTGGCTTTTGTCAATTTAATGAAATATTTAATGAAATAGTTATTAATAGAAATATACATTTATATTGAGGTTGAAAATACTATTGACTATTGTTTGAAAAAAATTCTTCTAGGTTATAGTAAATGTTTGACAGTAAATATTGTTTGAGTGATTTCTTGAAGCGATTCAGTGAGCAAATTGCTGTGAGTGAGTTCGGTAGGTGATTTAAAATTTTGATACCCATATATTATTGACTGACTACTTCACCGGTTATTTCATCACCTCAGATTTTGATACTGGGTGAAATGAAAAAGCAAAAATATCAAAATTTGTCATTGGATAACACCCTATATATGAGGTATCTATTGGGTTCGAATTTTGTATGGCAGTATTTCAGCTATCACAGAAACATATAGGCTATCCACTTTTTCGAAAAATAAATGCCTAATAGTCGTTTTTGAAATTTTGACCCATTTAACAAACGATAGTAAGCCTTGAAAATTTTAATATCTCGAGTGTTCGTTGGATTCCGAATTAGAAGGATGTTGCGAGCTGAAATCGCATACCCTGTAGAGTCAGTCAGTGATTTCACCGCCTGTTTTCAAAAATTCGAAAGAACTAGTAGCAATCAACCAATCATAATCATTTTTCTTCCTAATTGAATTAATCAGTTCATGACAAACACCTAGTCTCGTTATATTCACTTTTACCCACAAGAAATTTAACACTATTATTAGTACACATCAGGTACTTGACAGTTTTGTCGAGCATAATTTGACATGATATATCTCCCCCAGAAAATATGTTATGCAAGAGAAGAATTACTACCCTTCAGTATTTTGATTGTTCTTTGTTAACCTTCTCTCGAAATTCATCATTTCCTACTCAAACTAGAATGTATGTCTATAGTGGCCAACACAGTTAACAAGCACCTTGGTTGATAAATAATTCAAGCCCACTTCCAACCAACGGTTGTCATAATTTGTCATTCAGGAACCGTGTTTGTTACCGTATAGAGCAATCAATCGTTACAGGGACAGCCGGACGTTAACATGTTTGCGGCCATTCGATTGGTCATTAAATTCGGATAATCGCTCGAAAAAACACGGAAATTAGATGTCATTACATTCTTTTGCATTCGGCCTACTTTCAGTAATTCATATGAACCCTTTACTTCAGAGATTATAAACAGACTACATTCTATAGATCTCCAACTTCAATGGTTTGGCCACCAAATAATAGGTGGCCATTTCATATAATGATCAGTGATAGTGCGCAGGCCTGAGCATTGATTTCAAAATGCGCTCATATTTCATATTTGATGAAAGACATTCCTTTGCTGTGAATGTTGTGATTTTTTCTCATCTAGAAGTGGGGTTTTTGTCGTTTCAAAGTGCTCTATTCTCGATTCATGGCTATTACTTCATTTTTCAATCATGATTGATCAATCAATCAACAATAGTTTGCAGTACCAGGATGTGAGATTGCATTTTCTCCCCTGACATCGTTTTCCAAATTTCAGGAGACAATCTCAGGTTTCTGGAGAGGATAAAGTAAAGTTAAGTTATATTTCATTGTGATCATCTTTGTGTATGAAACAGAAAGTATGCATTTTGATAACTTTTTCTCATTTACCGATCATTATATAGTGTCTGTAAATCGTGGGAAAAGATGGAAGCATGAAGTGCTTATGCATGATATTTCATCGATCTCTTTTGATATTTACGAAAGCTTCTCTTCATCTCAATTATTTGAAAATATCATGAATCATTCAAAATTCCTGCTATTCGAAATAGTTGCGCCACCAAACACCAGAGGCGCTGATGGCGAAAATGGAACAACAGGTTTGTTAATGCGTTGGCCATCTAGGTGTAATCTATATATGCTACAGATGTTCTCGAATCGCATCTGAGAGCAAAGTGAGAGGTAGAAGATTTTCAGGAATGTGACCTCTGGAGCAAACAGATTAACAATATAAAAGATTTGGATCAAAATGTTTTCATTGTCTTATATGGGCATTGGGCACGTCTATCTCTGTGTAAGCTATACTAACTTCGTTCATACTTATTGGCTAATATTTGAGTAGTTTGTCTATGACTTAAACAAATCAATACAAATTAATTCAATTCAAACTCAAACCTCACCAGAAATGAGTGCTCAAACTTGAACTCCAATAACTGTCTTCAGTCATTCGACAAAAAGCTGTCCAAAGTGAGATATATCTAATTCCTCTGAATCAATTATCCTATTTTTCTTGGCTATCAAATTACAGAACGCTCCAAATAAATTGTGTCTTAATCTAAATAACAATTGCCAACCATGCACAACAAATTCATCTGACAGCGGGACAATCGCTCCTCATAAACGTATTAACTTGCTTTTCAAAAAAATATCCATTGAATGAGTCTCAATTAGTAAATTGTTTTTGATTTCCTTTCATAATTATGTGAAAGCCGTATATAGAAAACAGTTATGTTCCTCACCTGTTGTTCGTTGATGTACCAGTGGAGTATTGAAGCGGGGTGGCTCATCCCTGAAGTGCAGTTCAGGCTGATCTCATCTCCTATCTGGTAATCCTCTTCCACGCCCGTTATTACAGGATTTTCCGTAGGAAGTTCTGGAAAACATAAATACGTTGGGATCGGTTGAAATTTGAATTTATCGCTCGCATTTTCTGGTAACGCAAAAAATATCTAGACTGTCTGATGGGTTATACCGTCAGACAGTCTATAGATATTCAGCGGATTAGAATACTGACGCTTCGTCCACGCGGCTACCTGGCTCGAATGCTATCTGCTAGAGATGAATTATATGATTCTGAAAACTCACCCACAACCTCCATTTTGGCTTCACTTTGAGCAGATGCGAACGATGGAGCCTCAGCTGACACTTCGCATCTGAAGAGACCACTAGTTTTCCAACTGACAGGATGTATCACTACTTTTCGGCTGTCCGATTTTGACATCTGCAACACGAAAGTACGAATTCAAGATTGGTTATTTCCGATTGTCTTCTTCTGCGAGAGTATAGTGTATATGTGAAACGATTCAAAGCTAACAGAAAAACTTAGTTAAATGCCATTTTAATAGATGCCACAGACGTCCCATCCATAAATATTTATAATGGAATTTTAAAATGTTTCAACCCTCTCACAGCTCCTACTTCTTTCTGATATTTTTGTACTGTACTAATCGAGTCTCGAGTTGATACCTCATATTTTCTGGAAGATTCATCATCTCTCATCCATTCGGGATTATTTACTGCTCAATAAAATACCCGTTATGTCTGGTTAACGACTGTATTATTGTGAGAATGACTTTAGTTCCCCCATATTCCACCATAACATCGTATTTATGATACCATTTTCTCGTGCAAACATTTACTAGAAAAAACAAATTGCGATCTGTCCGAGTATCTGTCATTATCTCCTGATGGCATTAATGCTTGATATAAATGGCACTTGAATAGCTGCAACTTGCAACTTATTTGTTTTCAGTAGGTATATGCTGAAACCCACTTTTTATAGTTACTATAGATCTGTTCGTTTGTGTCGCTAGATATGATTAGAGCATGTCTAGCAGAAATGCGTATGTTCATTTGTGTCAAACATTTGATCTGAATGTGTTCGTTTTTGTGGAGCAGATTGCAGTAGATCAAAAAGATCAAGCTATATCTACTCGGCCAAAAATGATCGAGCAACAATAGCATATCACTTTAGTCGGTTACCATAACCTGAAATTATAGCAAATTGAGTTGAAAACTACAGACATTTCGAAAATGTTAGTAGTTTCACCAAACGATAACGTTTTAGACGCTTTAGTGAGCGACGTAATGAATCGGTAATGAATATTCAGTTTCAAAAAGGAATGCTCAGTATGTATAATAGGGAGAAGAGAATACATGATTTTGGAAAGCATGCATTATTGATTTTTTTAGAGGGTGGTCTACTGGATATGGATATAGATTCCATCATAAATATTGATCGACTTTTGATGTCTGTACATTCCACGTAACTTTCCGAATTCTAATCATTGATTATCAACCCCAAAAATATTAGAGGCTGAGGCAAAAATGTTCGTTTGTAGCCAATGCACTTTGCTAATTTTTTTTGTCCAAATATAATACAATCTGTTATGTGTGTTATCTGATTTGATCGGCTTGCTCTAAGTATCACCATGGGACAAGATCTTATATTTGCAAGTGTAATCTATGTATATTTTGAATTTTTCTGTTTGATTGACACTGATGAGCAAGTGACGTTTCAATGATTGAAATAAGAAGTCAAGATCCGCGTTCTTCTCATTATTACAGGCTTTTATTTTTATTTAGTTTCACCTGTCTCGATGTCTGTCTGCTGTAATCAAATCTTGCAAGTCTAATATGACACAATTCTGATCGATCGATTGAAATTTTTGTTAGAGAACAAAACAAAATGGTCGCGCCAAAATGACAGATTGAGCTTTGTAATAATTATGATCAGATTATATTCAAAATTGGTATCTGGGGGTTTTCTGGGTCGGTTATATTATGATTCTTTCATCAAAATTGGAAAATTCGATATGGCGGCTTCAGAATGGCACTTCGGTTTTGTGATTATGGTACGATTATTTCCAATATTGGTATGTGGGGGCTTTTGTTCTCGAATATTTTCACAATTACAAGATTTAATTCAGTTCCACGTTCCACCTGTACCGGTGTCTGTCTGTGAGGGTAGGTATGTCTGTATGTGTGTAGTACATTTTTGTAGAAGCTTGTGAACAAACATATTTTTTCTGAAAACTTGTATTTAACAAATTTCTTTCAAGATCAGTTCATGATAAATAAAAGAGTTAGATTTCGACTATTTCGAGTATACATCTTGTTTTGATGGAAATTCTATACGCCGGTATTTTTTTTCTATACGGAATACGGTGAATACACTGCGCACGCCAATGGTTGATGCAAAATTTTATTATTGATTCAGAAGTCGCCGGCAAACTGCTATCCTCGGTAAATATGTATCGCTACATCCTGAAATGTGTTTTATTACCTGGAATCATGATTTCCAGATTTAAAATCCATCTCTCCAAATTTTCCGTCCATGAAAATAAAACATACCTATAGACGATATCCAGGATTTTCAGATGTGTTCCATATGTGTTCACATCGCTACCAGAGAGATTTATTGAAATGAGTATCATAATTTTTTTAGTATTTTTTTCATTAATACTGTAGTTGTGTCAATATTGTTTAACTTCGATATGAAGAAAGCTGTTCTTCAGTCAGAATAAGACCAAAAATCGTTTTACTCAGTTTCTTACTCAACTTCAGGGTGAAAAGTTGATATCAATGTATTGTCGATAGAACGATAAAAAATGAGATTTTGTGTTGTCTCTCCGATACCCCAACTACTTGTTTTTCTCCCGTCATATACCATTGTTATCATTTCATCAACATTTGTGGAAAGGACTTTGAGTTGAGTTTCATTATTATTCAACATTTCATTTGACTTTGAGCATTTTGTCTATTTCGTATAGTTGAGATTTCTAATTTATCTCCTCATTGTAGCACACAAAAGAAAATTCCAATAATGTTCGAGAATTTTCAGACTCCAAAAAAGACCCTTGAGAATAATAATTGCGAAAGCGAATTATATAGAGATAGTTGTCGTACAATATTCGTAAATTATGAAATACTTCCTTTACCTATCTAATATCTATCTACATCGCCAATTGTTTGTTGTTATCAAAGAAATGAACATTTTCATAAATACACTATGAGAAATTGTAAAATGATTCGGCCGATTAGACATCGGTTAAACACTTCTGAACATAACATAGATATAAAATTGTATAATATGCTCCCTTCCAATATTAAAGATACCCCTATCCATATTTTCAATAAAAAAATTCGTAATATTTTGTTATTCCATTGTTTCTACTCGGTGGGGGAATACTTGGGGGATGGAGTGGGATCATTCTAGTATATAAAGAATTATAAATAAATTAATCTGGAAATTAAAATAAGATGAATTAAACACATGCAAATGATGAAACAACTAATCATGCCCATACCACGAGGGAACGGTATTCACCCATTTCAATTTCAATGTGTATTTTTTGTATTGTATCATTCTGATTTTTACCTATATTCTCTGCCTTGTCTTGACTCTCCACAAATGAAATTGATTTTCTAACGTGGATAAATGAATCTTATCTTATCTCATACCTATAGGGAGGATATTGAAATCATAGGAAGAAAATATAACTGTAGTAGTAGTAGTAGTAGTAGTTTATCATCCTTTTGACATTCATAACATGTATGGGAATAATAGTCAATCAATTTATGTTAGTACAAATTGAAACATACAATGAAAATAAGACTTACAATAAAATGTTATTAAAAAATACAATATCAGTGTGTTTATCATACGTTATCAGGCAATAAAAATTCGTTTATATTATTAAACGACTTATCAGCTAGAAATACTTTTTAGGTCTTCTTTTGAAGACTATTAGGGAGTCACAAGACCTGATTTGTCTTGGTAGAGTGTTGAACAATTTTGGGCCAAATATATTACACACCTAATAATTCGTTTCTGAATAGTTGAAATATTACGTGCATGAGTTGAATTACCCCAAAAACAAATGCCATATTTCAGCCGTGATTCAATTTGTGCATGATACAAATTGAGGAGATGATGCGTATCCAAAACAGTACGTAGGTTAGCAAACATATATTTCATTGAACTCAATTTTGAAATCGATACCCAGCGAGCACAAACATCCCTGGGATGTTTTGGGATGTTTTGAAAATGTTGGCATGAAGATGTTATTTTGAGACGTAATTGCACTGACCAAAGAGGTCTTTGAAGGATATTGAAGTATTGTTCTGGTTCTTCTGTGGCATTTCTTTGTTTGCCTACTGAGAGGTATCCCTGGGATGTTTTGGGATGTTTTAGAAATGTAGGCATGAGGATGTTTTTTTGAGGCGTAATATGCACTTCCCAAAGAGGTCTTAGAAGGATATTGAAAGTATTGTTTTTGTTCTTTTGTGCCCTTTCTTTGTTTGCCCCACCACAACGTCTCATGCTTACGTCACAATACGATGAATTCTGATTTGTTTTCGATTTTGTTCTTCTTGTTCGCAATTGGCATTCGCGTTTGCAGCGTGTCACGCTTACATCACGCTGCTAACGAACAGAAAGGAATTTGGTGAAGTTTATTGTGTTAGAAGACTTACTTAGTTTGTAATAATGACCATTAGATGCAAGATGTGTTGTTCGGTGCCTCAGTGTAATCAATATATAAAAGTACGAATTCATCAATACGTAGCTTCTCCGCAGTTGCAAAATTATGCATTGTGGAGAACATTTAAAAAATTGGGAAACCTATTTCCAATTATATGTCTGTGTGTAGTAAGCACTACTCAGAAACCGATTAAGAAGGTAATTTCAAATCAAAAAAAATATTTTTATGTTCAATCTATTTTTAATGCATTTTTTCATTCAAGGAAACTGGAATCCTAATGCAAAAGTTCATTTTGACAAAAGGCTTCAGAAAAGTACCTCGAAAATGTTTTTTTTACAGCGATTTAATGTGCGCAAGACGCGTTGAAAATGTTCTGTTGTTTCCATGAAAAGGCTTTGAAAAGAACAAGGGAGAAGGTAGTTTTGTGACATATCAAGGACATCTCGATAATTGCCGCCTACGGCGGACATTGGCTGTTCTATAATAGTTCTATTCATGTGTGAACAGAACATCGCAGTGGAGGTTCAATGTCTCGAAATCTCGTACTTTTAACATCTCTGAGATGATTTTGTGCTCGCTGGGTAGTTCACATTGAGGTTTCCAATTTAAGTATTCATCTAGGTGGACTCCCAATATTTCTACCGGCTCGTGAGAATTTGTCTTAATAGACAGTTGTAATTGTTTATTTTGAAATTAAGTAACGTGACCGTCCGTTCGATTGTAAGAGACGCACCCT